GGGGTCGAGTCCCCAGCCCTGGGGGGATTTAACAGCCGGGCAGAGGTGGTGCTGAGGGCCAGGGTTTGGGGGTGGTAGGGGAACGGTTGGGCTGGGGGAGCTTAAAGGTCTCTTCCAACCCAAACGATTCTGTGATTCTATGATGTCCTGAAGAACAGTCAGCATCTACTGCAAGCGACCGAGCAGATGCCACTGCCTGACAGCCCACTGATAACGGCGCTGAAAGGGTCTCCCCGCCCCAGAGAAGCCGGCCCAAATCATTTATGGCTTCAAGGTCTCACTCCCGGTACCTGTTCCCCAGTTTTTGTACTGTCATGCAGTTATGGAATTTAAAAGGGTACTGTGGTATAAATGACTCGCAATTAAAGCATTGCTATAAGCACATTTTATTGCTTGACGCTGAGCTACCTAACCAGGAAAAAAGTAAAGCAACAAAAAGTGCATTTAGAGAGTGTTCTTCTTCAACAGGTTCAGAATATGTCCCAGTCTATTGAAGTTTTAAATCTACGGACTCAGAGGGATTTCCAGTATGTTTTAAAAATGGAAACACTAGGTTAATGACAAAGCATTTTCAAGTAGGTTTTATTTTCACACTTAACTTTGAGAGCCTGCTGGAAGCAGTGTACTGAGCAGCAATGCATGGGCTGCTAAGAGCTCAGCTTGAAACGCTCATACAAGAGCAACGTTAAAAAGAAAAGCATAATAAATCTTCCTTTCTGATTATAATCTTTGGCTCTGTTCAATTTAATGGTAATAGGGAGTAACCATTAATTATGAAGTCATTGGAGAAACGCCACTATAAACAGATTCTTGGTTTTTTTCTGTATCAATGTGCATGTCGTACTGAGAAATTTATATTCATTCAAGCTCCGGTGATAAATGGGGAGATCCAATGGAATTAATGGTAAACAAAGTAGAGAGTTCTGCACTTCTGCTGCAGTTGAAGGGAAGAGAGCCTATAATAAATCAGGTTATTGTGATTTTCATCCAGGACAATTAAGATGTAATTTCATGTCTGAAGGTTTGCTATCTTGAACTTGGGATGGGGGGAGAAGGGGCAATCATTCCCAGCCACATTTGTGCGATTAAAAAGACTTCCAAGGGATTTCGGTGACAACAAAAACCACAAGCCAATCTCTCCGTGAGGAAGGAGGGTCGCGGAAATCACAAAGGAGCATTGTGTATTCCAAAAAAGTCATCTGAAGTACTTTTAAAGGAAAAAAATGTTACAAAGAGCGTATTTAAGCTCTTTAAATATCAAGTCTGATAAATTGGTATTTCAAGACTGGGAGACAGCAAGAGTGGATCTAGAAAATGCATTCTGAGGATTACATTGTGTTAACCAAATAGATATTTTCAAAGTGTTTATGAAAATTCACATTAAATGGACTTAATTTTCTAATTGGCACTAAAGCCAGATACCTAAATAATTACATAGCTAAAGGGTCTAATTTACTTTTCAGAGACCCTGAATATCCAATGGGTCTTAATAATATCAGGAATTAAGCACCCTAATGATCTGACTACCCAACTTTATTCTTTGTGTCATAGTTCTTAGTTTAGGTTAGAGTTTGAGCACATATTTTTGGGTAGTTAGAAAGGGTCTCCACCTTTTTTTTCGCTTCATCGCTCATTGCGACAATACCACCACATTTGTATAATGCCATTAGATATTCTGTACTCTCATTACAGTTTTCCTCGGGAACAAAATACCAACATTTGAATGTCTGATAACACGATGCCAAAGGTAGCAGATTCCTGCAGTACTCTAACCTTTTAAATATTTGATATTTGTATTGGCCAGTCATTTAACTTCAGTTTGACAGTTTGCCAGGAGGATAAAACAGATTTCCAGCCAATCAAATTATAAAGTAATTTAAAAGGTCAACCTAATACAATATGGTGCTGGCTTTCTGAAATTTGATCTACTAAAATTCCAGTGCTTTCTCTTCCCTGAGACAAAGAGACTCGTTCTGCACACAGCATAACCTCCCCTATCAGCAGGCACGAAGCGCCAGAATACGTCTACCACCTATCGCGTTGCCATACAAATTAGTTCTTGTACCACTCATCACCACAACAAGCTAGGAATGTCCACAGAAACCGATAAAATTATTTTCTTTACTATGAATGTACCAAACCCATCTTTATATCATTTACTGAAGTGAGATATTCTAACGCTGTGGTTCCGTGTCAGTGAGAACCAAAGAGTACAAATCTGATCGCTCGAGCACGTGGTCATACTTTGGCCAAATCAGCATTTATGCCAGGCAGGAGATACCCGATCACGATAAAAAGTTACAGCGGTCTGCTCAAATGATACCTCATCCGGCATAAACGCTATCGGGAATAAGTTACCTTCACTAATGCTCTTAAACACATTTTATCTTCCCGAGTTTTTACAAGCTTTGCATTTTTTTCCATTAGTGTTTACCCATGATTTTTGGCAGTTCACTGCCCCACAGAACCAAAGCCTAAGTTCATTATTTCAAAATGAAGTAACAAAACCTTTGGCTTCTGGAGCTCTGCTTTCTATGTCCCAAAGCCTACTCCCCTTGTCATCAAGCAAAAAATAACTCTTCATTTTGTCAGGCATAAAGTAGGCTCAAGTTAAGTTTTTAATTAAAAAATCGTTTTAACTGTAGACAAAAGGACTCCCCGCTTCTTTCTGTGCCTTTCAGTAATTCTGCTACTGTAATGTAATCGGAAGACCCCTTGGGAACAGAACCAACAGAACTCCTAATACCCTCAAATCCATTTATAATGACGTATCTGCTCATAATTTAAAATGCAATTTTCTAGCTATTAAGATGACCCGTGTGCAAAATATGCTTCCTAACAACACACAAGTCTTTATTTTGAGTAAATAATAATTCCAATAGGAAAGCAATTGTTAAACCAGTATGGGTGTAGGAGCTAGGCGATGAAGAAAGACTGCAGAACTCTCAGGCTGCCTTCGAACGTGTTCCAGAGGCAAGAATTCAGGGGTTGATCTTGAAGCAGCTCAATGCTGACCCTGCCTATCAGCTTCTTTCACATCTCCTTACCAAAGACGCATTTGGCATCATCCTGTTATTTATTCTGGAAATGCCCCCCCCCTGTTCATTGCATCCTGTCACAAACCGCGCGTGCGTGTCTTCGCACGCCTCAGTGACTACGCCAGCCGCGAACCACGTTTGCTTCTGCACCTCCTTCTGGTGCTTGGCCTTCCATTGAGCTCTCCTCTGCTTCCCCTTCTCACCTGCTGGCTACCCCAGCTAGTCTGCACCACTTGATTTTTTTAACCCCTTCAATAGCCTCTCCCTGTGTGTCCTCACCTGTCCCCAATCTCTGTCACCACCTACTGCTAGTACCTAACAAATCTTTATTTCCATCCTTTGCCTTGTTTTGCCCAGGCTTGCCTCTCCTCATGTCCCTCTGGCATTTGCTCGTGGAAGTCCTGCTGTTTCCCCAAATCGTGAAAAGACGCAAATCTCTACCTACAGACCTATAACACATCAGGGATGAACCTGCCTGCTTTTCAAGAAAGCAAAACCTTTTGACTGCGAGGATTCTTTGAGGTTTTCTACCAAATAATAGCCAAGCAAAAATAATAATAACCAAATAATAATAACTGAACAAAAACCAACCTCAAACAATTAGTTTAAATGTAATAAAGCCCCTATGATCAGTGCATTTAAAAGACTAATTGAGAAAGGAAAGATAAGCAGCCAGTGTAGGTTACAAACGGAGACAAATTCTCAAAGTACGTGACTCGGCAAAAGTCTGAGAAAGGGGCAAGCCCAGATTCCAAAGTGGAGCCTTATTTTATTTAATCCATGTTTAAGAATAGGATTGGCAACGCAACAACTGCACCTGGCAAAAACATGATTTACGGTAGTCCAGAAGAGAGATCACCTTCTCTCAAGGACGACATGCTCAGTGGGGTTTTGTATCCTTGGGATGGGAAATCAGACCTTCAGCAGGTTTGGTGGGGATTGGTATCCTCAGGATGGAAAGTCAGACCTTCAGCAGGTTTGGTTCAGACCACTTGAAGGTAATGGTGTACTTTCAGTAGAAAAACTATGCCTTTTACCTACTGCTTACTACCATTAAGTCTGAGGTTTCTAAGCTTTCACAATACATGAATAACAGATCTGTAACTAAAATCAATAATCATTTTCAAGCAATTTTAATAACCAGGCATAAATGCTGCATTAAAGGGAATTAGGGGATTGAACGCCCTTGAACTGCCCTAACGCATGTCTGATTGCCTATAACAGGAGTTGAAAGAAAAGATGGATGAGCTCCTGCCACTGATCCCAGTTTTAGAACAATACAAAACTGATGCCAAATTAATCACCCAGTTCAAGGAGGAAATCAGGAATCTGTCTATTGTCCTCACTGGGATTCAGGAAGAAATTGGTGCTTACGACTATGAGGAACTACACCAGCGTGTGCTCAGTTTGGAAACCAGGCTTCGAGACTGCATGAAAAAGCTCAGTAAGTTAACCATTCCATGGCAACTTTGGTCCCTCAGCTGTATATATTTCGTTGTCTCTATAGAACGATAAAGTTTTCTTTTTTCTTGCTTGATGAAAGACTGTGTTATATTCTGACCTGGGCTACCCTCATAAAAGTCAAGAGTAACTCAATGTAAGGTCAACAGGCTGGGAGAGTTGGGGGTGTTCAGCCTGGGGAAGAGAAGGCTGCGGGCAGAGCTGAGTGCGGCCGGTCAGGGCTTCAAGGGGGCCCAGAGGAAAGGGGGGGACAAGCTTTTTAGTAGGGCCAGCTGGGACAGGACAAGGGGGGATGGTTTTAAACTGAAGCAGGGGAGGTTTAGACTGGATCTAAGGAAGAAATTCTTTCCAGTGAGGGTGGTGAAACCCTGGCAGGGGTTGCCCCGAGAGGGGGTGGAGGCCCCATCCCTGGGAACATTCCAGGCCAGGTTGGCCGGGGCTGTGAGCAACCTGATGTGGTTCAAGGTGTCCCTGCTCCTGCAGGGGGGTTGGGCTGGGGGACCTCTGGGGGTCCCTTCCAACCCAAAACATTCTGTGATTCTATGATCTTAAGTTTGCACCAACGTATCTTATACAATGATCTGCCCTACTGTATACAGAAGGAATTAAGATGGAAAATTTTAGCAGACATTAAGATGGAAAAATTTAACAGACAGCAACTTGAAACTCGAAGAGATTTACAGCTGGTTGGGGAGCTCCAAATATTCTTTCAAAAACGCTCAGACGGGCATTGCTGCTTAGGTCACCTTCGGGATGTCAGTGGGAAGAAAGTATTAGTGGGAAGTAAACTGGGATCAGTTTTGAGATGTCCACCCCATAACGCTGTCATCTCGCCACGACACCCGGGAGGCCGCTCTGACTGTGCTGCCTTTACACCTGCAATATTGGCATTAGCGATGGGCCGTTCTCCAGTGCGCAAGATGACATAATTAAGCATTACAGCTAATTGGAGGGAACAAAGCATGCTTTCTGTAGGAAGCACAGCCAACAACCCGTCGTGAGCGCTGCGCTAGATTGATGCCCGGCAGCCTCCATCTTGTTCGCTCACGTGCTGGCTTTAGTTAGGAAAAGCCAAATGTTCGGCGCCTCTGAAAATCAGCGCTAGCTCAGTATCAGCTACCAGAAGTGAGCGCCTGAAGCATCGTTATCAGGCATCCCAAAGAGGGATAATTAGTCCCTCCCCGCTTTACAATCACATCCGTCCATTCTGAGACTCCCGAATGGATCCCTACTGCAGCCTGCACTGCCACAGCCACCGATCCAGCCCCTCTGTGAGAAATAAACACTTTGCAGGTTAACACGGAACGTGAATAAACTAGCACATCCCAGGTCCAGTCCTGCAATCGGCGTCTCCGCTATCAAGTGCGGGGTGTTTGCTTTTAAATGCTACATGTGACATGAAATATGTCATTAACTTGGCAACGGCGCCTCTTTTCTTTTCGTGAGGCGATGGGACAAGAAAAATCTAGGTTAGGTTAGCCTCTTACATTATTTATTTGCGATTTCTTTCTGTTACACTAGAAATAACACAGCCATGATGGGCTAAAATACATGAAAGGCTTCTTCAAACAGAATTTTCTTATGATGCTATTTTCCCCTCAGTGCATGC